GATCGGGGGGCCCCCCTAGGGGGCCCCCCTCTGGTGTTGCTGAGGGGGGGCCCCCCATGCAGCGACGGCCGTTGGTCCTGCCCCCGCCTTCTTTTAGCGGAGAAGCAGCAGCAGCAGCAACGGCAGCAGCAGCAGCAGCAGCAACAACAACAGAAGCAGAAGAGGCAGCAGAAGCTGCAGCAGGAAACCCATTGGTGCTGCCACAGGGAGCCGATCCAGGGGGGCCCCTGGGGGCCCCCAGGGGACCTGGGGGCCCCCTTCGCCTCCCCCCAGTAACACAGGGGGGGCCCCCGGCGGGCCCCCTGACGGGGCCTCGGGGGCCCCTCTGCCTCCCCCCAGTAACGCAGGGGGGCCCCCCGGGGGGCCCCCTCTGCCTCCCCCCAGTAACACAGGGGGGCCCCCCGGGGGGGCCCCCCCCGGGACCTCGGGGGCCCCTCTTTCTGCCCCCTGTAACACAGGGAGGGGCCCCGGGGGGCCCCCCAGGGGGGCCCCCGGGGGGCCCCCCTGATAGCTCTTCTGTGCTGTGTTTGGATGAAGCAACTATTATAAAGAAACTAAAAAAGAATGTGTAGAAAAACTAGTTGCGTTTTTGTTTTTTTTTGTTTTGTTTTTTTTTTTTTTGTTTTTTTTTTGTTTATGGTGAGGCAGCAAGTGTATAGCTTCATAGACAGGAGAGAGAGACAGAGGAGACAGAGACAGATATAAAAGAGACAGAGAGACAGAAGAGACAGAGAAAGAGAGAGGAGACAGATAGAGACAGAGAGAGAGAGGGGACAGATAGAGACAGAGAGAGAGAGGAGACAGATAGAGACAGAGAGAGAAAGAGGAGACAGAGACAGAAGAGACAGGGAGATAGAAGAGACAGAGACAGATGTAGAAGAGACAGAAAAGAAAAAGGAGACAGAAGAGAAAAAGGAGACAAGAGAGAAAAAGGAGACAGTACAGGAGACAGCAGTGAAAAAAAGAGACAAAGAGAAAAAGGAGACAGAAACAACAAATTAATATTACAACAAACAACACGACGCCACGGCTCCCCGCGCGGCGACTAGCAAGCTAGCTAGCTAGCTAGCTAGCTAGTCACCTAGGTAGCTAGCTAGCTAGCTAGCTAGCTAGCTAGGTTGTTAGCTAGCTGGGTAGCTGGCTAGCTAGCTAGCTAGGTAGATAGTTCGGTAGCTAGGCACATCCGTAGCTAGCTGGCTAGCTAGGTGGTTACCTAGATAGCTACGTAGATAGATAGATACAAACATAGATGCATAGATAGATGCATAGCTAGCTAGCTAGCTAGCTAGCTAGCTAGCTATGTAGCCGGTTGGACTCCATGTGCTGTGGAGACCCATCGCTAGTGCTAAGGATTTGTCTGCTGCTTTGAATGCTGCTGTTGCTGCTGCTGCTGCTGCTGCTGCTGCTGCTGCTCTCAGCAGCAGTTTTGCTGCTGCAGCGGAGCTGCTGCTGCTGCCTGCTGCTGTCTGTACTACCCTTCGGGGGCCCCTGGGGGCCCCTCTGCTATTTTAATAGATCTATAGATATTAAACCTTGCTGTTGCTGCAGTTGTTGTCGCTGCTGCTGTTGCTGCTGCTGCTGCTGCTGCTGCTGCAGTTAAACAGCAGCAAAAGCAACAAACGCAGACACCACACAGCGGAGATGCATGCAGGCCTCATGCGGGGGCCCCTATACAACCTAGGGGCCCCTTGGGGGCCCCCTTACAGC